TTAAAGCGGTCTCAAACTGGATTATTTCTGCAGTGTGTTTTGGACCAACAGCGCTATAACAGCGTAGTGTGATAATGTCTTCCAAAGCAATTTACATTTCTATGAGTGCTTTTTAGCTTTTATTTGGTAATGTTCTACATTTTTCTTGAATGTCCTACATTTTGCACTGCCTTGTCCTCCTTGGTAGTTAGGACATCTGCATCGCTGCCTTATCTGGAATTCCGAAATATTTCTAAAATTGTCCACATAGTTGGCTTAGATAATTACACTATTGTTTTTGATGGTTCAGTGTACCCAAACTTTGTTTCATGCACAAAAGTGTGAAAAATATTATGTATAAAATTGCCTCCAGGCTATGTGTATAAGGCGTATATGAAATATAAATTTCATGTTTAGACTTGAGTTCCATCTCCAAGATCTCATTATGTGTATGTAAATATTCCCAAATCTGGCAAAAAATCTGAAATACAAAACACTTCTGGTCCCAAGCATTTCAGATACAGGAGACTCAACCTGTATTATCAAGATGACCAGGTGTCCTCCTTTTCCAGGACATATCTTACATTTTAAATTTTTGTCCAGGAGGAATTTCAAAATGTCCTCTATTTTGAGCATGACCGAGAAGCATGAATGTATATTTCTATGAGTGTTTTGAGCATTTATTTTGCAACATCCTGTATTTTTCTTGAATGCCCTACATTTTTTGTAGCCTTGCCCTTTGCTGCAGGGTGACCAGATGTCCTCCTCTTCCAGGACGTCTCCTACATACATTTCAACCTACTGTCCAGGAGGAATTCCAAAATGTCCTCCATTTTGAGCATGACTGAGAAGCATGCATTTATATTTATATGAGTGTTTTGAGTTTATTTTGTAATGTCCTACATTTTTCTTGCATAGCCTACATTTTGCAGTGCCTTGTCCTCCTTTGCGGTTAGGACATCTGGTCACCCTGTGTATTAGGACCCACGAGAATATCACAAATGCATACAAGCTTTTGAGTTTTCCAGGACTCATCAGACTCAGTAGGATAAAAGTTTTGGAAATTTCCAGGTTTGCAAGCAATCATGTTCCTCTATTGGAGCAAAAAGTAAACAGAGGGGGGTTGCAGACTGCCAGAAATAGTGCAAATTGAGTCCACTTTAAGGGTTAGGGTTAGGGTTAGGGAATTATGGGAACTATATTTTATTGTGGCACCAGAGCTCTCTGACAGAGAAGGCTCAATGTCTCTGGGGAAAAAAAAAACAATTCCCATGATTCCCTAGCACTAACCCGAACCCTTAAAGTGGACTCAATTTGCACTATTTCTGGCAGTCTGCAAAGGCTCCAGAGTCTTGCAGCAACTAATAAATTGTATTTGGCATTAGCTTTTGGGGAGGCTGCCTGCAGCCCACTTCAGCATCAATTAAGTTCTAAAGTAGTTGAAAGCTTGCACAATTTCATGGCATTTTAGTTTGTCTTGCACTGTATTTTCCTTTCATGGACCAGTATTAAGCTATTTTTGTTTGGTTTTAATTTGCTACGGCAAGGTAGAAAGGAGGTGGCTGGATTGGAAGGAAATGGAGATAGCTTGATGATGTTATGCATAGTTGAAATGTTTCCTTTGACTCATAATATAATAGGAGTATTTGAAATATCTTTTGTTAAAGTATATCAACTAGAAATAACCACATATCCTAGGGCACCCTGGGTGGCTATTTTAAATAAAGAAAATCTGGGGGGGAAATGCCCCCTAACGGATATCATCTGCCATTCGGGAATGAGACCAGAGTCCCTATAAACTAGTTTCCTCAAACCTCCAGATGCTTTTGGATACTTGCCATCATCCATGACTATAGGCTAAGTTGGCCGGATGGGAAATGGAGTCCAACCATTTGGACAGCACCAGTATGAGGGTGGCCACCATATTCCATAAGCCCTCAATTAACAATCCTATGAAGTGTGTGGTTTCTTTTCAAAGACAGAAGCACAGTAAACTGTAGCATTAAATAAGGTCATTTGCCATCGGTGAAAAACTCTCCACAAGGACCCCATTTGCAGCCTGAAAATGACTAGGGACTTTATCACAAAGGAGAAATCCCGTGCAGAAATGGGGTTTTAAATAGGAACAAAACCCACAAAAGTGGGTAGATTTTCAGATGAAGTCACTTTTAAAGTGTGCATAACCCAAATGGAAAGTAATCAAAAGCCGCTTCTTTTTACTTTCGGAAAATCCCGAAAGTAAAAAGAAGCAGCTTTTGGCTGCTTTCTGTTTGGGTTAAGCACACTTTAAAAGCGATGTGTGTGAAAATCTACCCATTTTTGTGGGTGTTCCCCATC